GGGGACAGGTATAACACGGAGATTCCTCAAGCCCCTGTGCTTAAGAGCGAGCTGACGGTGCTCTCAGCTTTCTCCAGCGCAGAAGCACTTAGCTAATTGTGCTGAACTCAGGGCCAGACCTCAGGGAGGGAGAAGCAGCCTGTTTGGGCCCCTTTGGCAATTAATTATCCCCCCAAGCAGAAAGATTGATGGCTTCTACACATCTTGGTCCAGTGAATAATACTGCAGATGCTGTTTTGATTCCAAAGCACACAGCCACCCCTAGCCTTTCTTTTCAACCTCTTTGCCTAAAATGGGAGCTAGTGAAGTAGCTTCCAGAGATAAAGAACATGTGTCATTTAGGGGCCATTTTAATACTTATGTACCATGCTCCTATCTGTTTCTACAGCTTACCCACTTTCCGGCCACCGATTGGGATTTTTCCCCCCCCCATTTTTTGTTGCCTTTTTCAGATTTTCTTCTCAAGGCAATCTCCTTCCCTGCATGTTCGGAAATTGCCCTTTCTCCAACCAAACACCCCTGGATCTTTCCTTGTCCTTCTCTGTGCCTCTCCAGTCTTCAGTGGGGCCTGTGGGTCAGAGCAGTGGGCTGGGAGTGTGGAGGGAGGAGTTGTTTATTGTTTTCCCCTGCTAGTTGTTCAGAGGCCCTTGCAACCCTACTGGGGCCCTGAAAAGACCTTTTTTTTTTTTTTTTTTTTTTTTTTTTTTATCAAGTTTCCCCATGACATTGCTGAGAATATAGACATTTCCAAACTCCACCTGAAAGCTCAGAAGTTTAAATAGCAGTTTGCTGCAGGTACTCTATGATTAAAAGTGTTGAACTTTCTTTTCCACTGTGGTTGCAGAGAGCTTACCTGCCTTCCTCTCACTCTTGCTAAGTTACTCTCTACTTCTGCCCCTCTAGAACCTTCAGGGCCTTCCTTCCCCACCGAGGGTCAAGGAGAGCGTTGCCAATACAAGGCCCTACTGGGAGCTTCTCTCTAAGGTCTGACCAAGGCATGAGGGACACCAGTACCCCAAAGTAGCAGTGTGGATGCTTTTGCTTCCATCTCTGCATTTCAGGCATAGGAAACCCCAAGACAGGCAGTATTTTGGATGCGTTCTGGGTATGGGATTATAACAGTTCAAGCATTCCTATCGCTGCAGCTACACACGTGGTAGTGACAGGTGCTGAACATGGCTATGCTTGGGTGCAGTCATCTCCAAAGATGCTCACAATAGCCTTGGCTAGTTTGTGTTCTTCTTATTTTAATTTCTTTCCTTTTTGCCCTCCATAAACAAGATGGTTTCAGGGTTCTGGAAGGAAGCTGGATTCCACTCAAATGGAAGGTCGTTTAAGAAGAATGATGCTACATAAGAGGTGTGCGCAGGGTCAGGAAACCCACAGGGACGCTAAGGCACCAGCAACAGCATCAGGGAGCCTTTACCTAGCCTAGACCTGAAACAGGGGCAGCAGGCATGTGACGGAGCCCTAGGAGGCCGGAGCCACAGAGGAGGGGCTTTCCAGCAGGGTGGTGTGTCTTCCCAGAAGCAGGAAATGTGGCGCAGGAGGAGGAGGATTCAGTTGAAGAATACCCTGGCCTCACTCTCTTCTCCCGCCCTCTCATTTCCTTCCCCTAGCTCACATGGGCTGGGCCCCGTCAGAAGCCAGAGAGTGAGGAGCCTTCTGTGGCGATATGGGACACAGAGCAGAGGGGAGAAAGGCTGAGAATGGATCTGGGTAGGGCCAGGCTGTGCGGGGGTGGGGAAGGGGAGGTAGCAGATGGGGAATGAGCAGCAGCATCGTTTCCTGGGCTGGGCTGGGTGTCTGCCTGGGCACCGCGCCCACCAGTGTGCGGAGCCAGGAAGGTTCCGTCACACTGAAAGATGAGTGAGCAAGTACGTTTTATTGAGGACAGCATAGGAGCTGCAGAGGTGGCCTTCATCACACACTCCATAATGTTCAGGGCAGTGTCATTTCTTCCCAATGAGGGTGTCACCCTCCAAGTCTTCTGGGCCCCACGGGTGGCCTGGGGCAGCCCTTCTCACTCTCACCACGACAGGGGGCTGGGCTCCTGGTGTTTGCTCTTGTTTTGTTATTACAGAAGAGAGAACTGAGAAACCCTGAGTTCTTTGCTTTCTGAGCTATAAAAAAAAAAATAATGGGACAATGAAAATTGTTGAAGTTTTGAACACTATCAGATTTTTAAAGTTTTTAAAGAACATTTTTCAATTTTTAGTTGTGGTAAAAAAAAAAAACCCCATATAAACATTTATTTTTAGAGACAGGGTCTTGCTCTGTCACCCAGGCTGGACTGCAGTGGCATGATCATAGCTCATTGCAGCCTTGAACTCCTGGGCTCAAGTGATCCTCCTGCCTCAGCCTCCCAAGTAGCTGTGACCACAAGCACCACGTGACACCACATCTAGCTAATTTTTCTTATTTATTGTAGACATGAGGTTTCTCTGTGTTAACCCGGCTGGTCTGGAACTCCTGGCCTAAAGTGATCATCCCGCCTCAGCCTCTCAAAGTGCTAGGATTACAGGTGTGAGCCACCATGCTTGGCCTAAAATTTACTGGCTTAATCATTTTTAAGAGTACAGTTCAATAGTGTTAACCACATGTACATTGTTTTGCAGCAGATCCTTAGAACTTTTTCGTCTTGCAAAACTGAAACTCTATACCCATGGAACAACAATTCTCCCATCTCTGCTTCCCCCAGCCTCTGGTAATCCCCATTATACTTTCTGTTTCTATGAATTTTGCTAATGTAGACATCTTGTATGAGTGGAATCCTACAGTATTTGTCCTTTTGTCACTGGCTTATTTTGCTTGGCATGATGTCCTTAAGATTCATCCATGTTATAGCATATGACAGAATTGCTGCCTTTTTCTAAGGCTGAATAATGTTTCAGTGCATATACCTACCACATTTTCTTTACCTACTCATCCATCAGTGGACATTTGAGTTGCTGCTCCCTCTTGGCTGTTGTGAATAATGCTGTGATGAGCATAGATGTGCAAATATCTCTGCAAGATCCTGCTTCGAATTCTTCTGGGTATATTCCTAGAACTAGAGTTGCTGGGTAATTCTATGTATAATATTTTGAGGAAACTCCATACTGTTTTCTGTAGAGGCTGCACTATTTTATATCCCCACCAACAGTGCACAAAGGTTCCAGTTTCTTCACATCCTCACCAACACTTGTCATTTTCTCTCTTTTTTCTTTTTCTTTCTTTTTTTGGGATAACAGCCACCCTAATGGCTATGAGGTGATATGTCATATCTTTGTGGTTCTGGTTTTACTGCTCTAATTATTAGTGATGTCAAATATCTTTTCATATGCTTTTTGCCCACTCATATATCTATTTTTGGAGAAATGTCTATTCAAGTACTTTGTCCATTTATTTGTTTTTGTTAAATTGTAGGATATATATATATATATATATATATATATATATATACACACACATATATATTTATACACACACACACACACACACATATATATATATTTCTGGATATTAACCCCTTGTCAGATATATGATTTGAAAATATTTTTACCCATTCTGTAGGTTATCTTTTCACCGTATAGGTGGATTCTTTCCTTTGAAGACAATATAAAGTTTTGTCTAACTAATTATACCAATCTTTGGGCTCTTGTTCAAATCATATACATATTCCCAATTCCTTCTCTGGAAATTCTGATTCAGAATATACAGGCTAGGGCTCTTGGGTCTGTCTTTTTAATCAGGACCTCAGGTGAATCTAACATCAAGCAAGTTTGCAGCACTTTGGCTTCCACTCTAACAGTGTTTCTCAAAGATGGCTACACAAGGCATCTAAAAAAAATACTAATGCCTGGCCGTATTCTCAGTTTCTGAATTAGTTGAGAAGTCATTATCAATAGGTTAAGACCTGGGTGTTGAGATTTTAAAAGCCCCCACAGGACACTGTTGACCAGCTGGGATTGAGGATCACTGCTCTATCTACCCCTCCAGGCCAGGGACCTTGCTGTCAACATAGCGCCTGGCTCAATTCGTGTTTGTTTTACTCCATGTCTCACTTTCTTATTTTGAAAGTGATTCTTACACTTGTTGCATTTGAAAGCGGTTCTTGTCTGGTGAAGTTGAGAGCTTTATAGACGCATCTGACATTTGTGGCCAGAAATCTCCCTGCTGTGGTGGGGAATTTCGAAAAAATCCGTCCACTTATTTCATGGGTGACCCGGTGAAAGTCTGCTCTTTGTGTCGAGATCTGAGTGTTGCCTTCTGCAGAAATTATAGGCGCAACCGCCATAACTGCTCAAAATAATGTACCTTTTACATTTTTGGACCATCTACCCTGGGCTAAAGACAGTTGCTTGTATTTACCCTGAGCCCTGTGAGATCATCTCTTTATTCAGGGTGTGGTGGAAGGGACTGGTCATTTGAATGGGCTAAAGGCTGCGGATGAGTTTGGGATTTTAGCCTGGGACAGTGTAACTTGGAAAATGAAAGCAGGTGCTCTCGGGGGTGGGAATTCAAGGCAGGAAAAGATAACCTGTGGGGAGAGGATCCAGCCTCTCCGACATTAGTGGCTATGAAAGTCATGTTGACAGAAGAGACAGGAAGGAGACCTTTACTGGGCACCTACTGCATGCCAACGCTGTGTTAGCTGTTGCATTTCAGTTTCTAACTTGATTCTCGTGGTGACCCTGCAGAGAGGCTCTCATTTTTATTCCATACAAGAGGCCCAGAGATGTCACATGGCTGCATCAAGACCACACAGTGAGAGTGACTTGTTTGATTCCAGAGCCCATATACATTCTCCTCCACCACTGCGACTCAGGGAAAACCAACCACAGTGACACCAATTAGAGACAGATACTTGAAAACTATCAAAGAGACGGATACTTGAAAACACAGAAATTGTTTGATATATAAAATACTGCTAGCAAGAGTCATTCATGTCCCATTTATGCCTAATTACCACATAACACAATAATGATTATGATTAAATATCTGACAGATGAGCTGGCTGTACATTTTATTTGATCCCAATAGAAAGCTCAGCACATATGGCTTTATCTTCATCGTTTCCTGCCCACCCAGCGTGGTCGTTTGTTCATGACTTCAATAAATTACGGGCAGCGTTGGTCAGCAGTTTCAGGCCACCACCTGTAGTCTAGACACAAAACAAGGTAGAGTCACATATAGCCTTTGCATTAATGTCAACAAAAGAATAATCTATTGATTTGCTAATCGTTCTTCCCTGCTGTGTACAGGTATCATTAGGAAAAACAGATACACTTAGACTTAAGTGACTGAAAGTTCTTGCTTTGGTTATTGAATTTGCTGAGACTGATTTTTAAATCTTGTGATTAAGACGAGTGTCTAAGCTCACAGAGAATGAACAAATTAACTGATTTGTTCTTGCGGAGAGGAGGGAGGTTGCTTAAAACTGCAGAAGATGGGGGTGCAGGTGGCAGGGAGATGCAGCGAAACCAGAAAGCAGCGGATTAGGATTCAAAAAACCTGGTGTGGCTATTATTTGCTGTGTAACTCCAACCTATGTATCTTAATTTTTCTCATCCCTAAAGTGAGGATAATAACAATATCTGCTTATTTGGTGTGCTTTAGACTCCTAAAGCAAATGAGACAAGGATTTCAAGTGAAAGTCCTTTATTTTGGAAGTGATTCAAGGAAGCACAGTGAGAGAATTGATGGGCAAGTGGTAGCTATGGTAACTGGGGTCACCACCATGGGGACTCTGTATTAGTCATCTACTGCTGCATAACAAATTACCCAAGGATTTGGTGGCTTAAGACAGCAATACATATTTACTACATACACATTTTTTATATGTCTGGAATGTGCGAGTGGCTTCTCTGGGTAGGTATGGCTCAGGATCTCATGTAAGTATACATGTAGTCAAGATGTCAGTCAAGGCTGAAATCAACTGACGGCTGGAATTGGGCTGGATGATCCATTTTCAAGGTGGCTCAGCCACATGGCCGGTGAGCTGGTGCTGGGTGTTGGCAGGAGAACTCAGTTTGTCGCTGTGTGGACTTCTCCACGAGTTGCTTGAGTGTCCCCAAGACATGGTGGCTGGTTTTCTCCTGGAGAAGTGGTCCAAAAGAGAAGCAGGTCTTTCATGAGCTATGCTATGGGAGTCACTTAGCATCACTCTTGTCCTATTCTGGTCATTCTTAGTGAGTCATTTAGTATAGCCCACATTCAAGAGGAAGGAAATCAGTCTCTATCCTTTAAAGAATAAAGGCTCAAAGAATTTAACATATTTTAGAACTACCACACATGCTGTGTGGTACGCACTTAAGAATTTTCCTTTTCCATGAGAGTAGAAGAAACTGGATTGTTTATTGTCCAATCCCTATCACTATTGTTTGAAGATTCTGGGTGGAGACCTGCCCTCAAGCGTGAGTGAAATTAGGGGAGAGAGGTGGTTCTCTAAAGGAGATACAGGAGGTTAAGAGATATGCCCTAAGGTCTAGTGACACAGAGGAGCCTGTTGCCCAGCTGAACTGCCCCAGACCGATTTTGGTCCACAAGTGGAGCCATTGGTAGCCCCTCAACTATAAGCCAGTTGAGGAATCTGAGCTCCATCCAAGTCTGGCTCTTACCTCATCATTTCCATTTGTTATGACCAAAGTAACGTGTCTTTTCTTGTCTTTGTATTCTTCAGCTGGAAATGGGCCTGAGGATTTTGTTCTATTTCCTAGAGTCCCCTTAATGGACTAGCAAATGATTTTTAAACGCTGTAGAAATGGGCGGTCTTTATATACACACGCACATACCCTTGCATCCACAAAGACAAATTGCACCCCTCTCTGCTGTGCTATTTCTGGCGCTAACCTTCATTTATAATGTCATATTTATGTAATTACAGTGCTGCAGTGGTGGATCATGGTTTCAAAATACAATCATAATCACCATCAGAAGAAATGAGAGAGAAGATGAAAAACAAACGCAAAGCAATTAAAAAGTCCTTGTGAATGAGTTTTCTCATTGCCTCCTCCCATGCTTGGGTCTTGGGATGTTCTGCCTCTGGGTATGTGTGTGTGTGTGTGTTCGCATATGTGTGTGTTTATATTTTTGCTCTTATCGCAAATCTGGGCCTGGGACTAGAGTGTGAATACTCAATGAAGTGGCGTATTATTAAATACTTGGAGTGTGCCTTCCTTCTGCCTGATTGGATTTTTCTATTTAATTATCTGTGGTCTTAGTGGTTAGAGGGTCTTGACCACAGAGTATATTTCATGACGCATATACCCTTTGTCATACGTCCCCTTACTAAGGACACGTTTTATACATTACTTCTCCAGTGGTATTTTTTTTTAATAGTTTCAATAGTGGTATTTTTTAAAAATAGTTTAATAGTATTTTCTATGCTTGAAAAATAATTTTCTACATCCAGAATTTACCTGCCCTCCATTCCTGCTTTCCAATCCCTGTTCCTTCCCTTATCCTTTTGCAACATTCTTCCACCTTCATCACTGGCTGAGATGCCTGCAAATTCAATAACATCCTATTCTCTCTGCTGGGCAACTTGCCAGCCAGAAGCTCCAGGGTCTGGGTCGCTTTGTGTTGGGCACACTGCTTTTCCTGCTTGCTGCATTTTTGCAAACCTATTGAAATACGGAGTCCCTTTGCAGTGCCTGGAAAGCCATTTGTTTTACTGATTCTTTTTCTTTTCTTTTTTCCATTTCTGGCTTGGGGCACAGCAAAGGCACAATATACTTCACCAAATCTTAAAACCTTAAAACAGTTTGTGCATCCAATTTTTGGGGCTGCCTTTTTCTTCCAGAAAGTTCCCTGGGGCTATCTCACATAGAACCCTACTTTGAATAGCATGTTTGGACACAAAGATGAAAATGTTTCTTTAGTGCATTACTATTTGCCAGACCGGGGAAGAAAGGACTTTAGGAGAAAAAGAGGGAATATTTTGAATTATTATTATTAATTATTATTATTTTTTTGGCTGGGGCTTCAAACAAAAACCACTCATTACTTTGGATCAAAAACTCTTATCGACTCTTTATTTAGAGCAGGCATTTTTATCATCTGCTTTCTACACTGTCTTCCTGTTTATCTCTGGCTACTAAGCATCTGATTGAATTAGGGGGCAGGGAGAAATCGTAAGGAAGGGATGGTGGTAGGAAAATGTAAATGAGATGTCCAATTCCTTTTTATCTCACCATTAAAGTGCCACACATACAAGTCTGTGAGCATCTCAACAGATCTGTCTCCCTCACCCAATGCTTCCTATGGGTTGACAAGGAGAGGTAGTTGGAAATGTCATCTTCAGCCAGCTTATATACTGTCAGCTTCAAGATGTCATTCTTGTGACTTTATAGTCCTCAGAATCTTTTTAAGGGTCACTGGATGGAGATCTTCTGTTTAAGAGTTAGGTTGTGGCAGGGAGTGTGTTCTCATCTGCCTCTTGGTCTGTGACAGCCATGGCTGATGTCAAAACTAGAAAATTGGTCAATCTCAGGAAATCCTTTTAATTTCTTAATTGAATAAACAATAACCAACAGTTTATTTTAAAATCTAAACTTTTAAAAAATTAAATAGGGATTCTTTTTATATAGATCCTTTTTACTGATCTAGGGCAAACAGCACTTCTCTTTTCCCCTGACTCAGTCACCTGCTATCGTACTTTCTCTGGCTTCTGAAATCTTACTCATGTTTAACTGCTAGTGAAGGATCTCCTGTCTACTGTTTCTTTTTCCATCACTGGTAGCGTGTTTCCCCTCATCTGTGGCAGCCATCCATACTTTAATAAATTAACTGCTCAGGATTGTGTGTTGGAGGTATGGAGTGGATCCAGGGAAATGTAGCAAATGATTTTTCTCTCCTACTCCTTGTTAAGCAGTGGTTGTTATTTTATTATCTATGTTTTGAATTGAGCTGTTTGATCTTCAAAATCTAAAAGTAGCTTTTGTGCAGTTTTATCGTGTTGGGGAGGCCAGTTACAGATATAAATTCCTCTGGTTGAGCCACAACCTCTTGCCACATCCTGAAAATACTCTTGACTGTATTTTCTTCCTGCACACCTATATATTGTGGCCTGTAGTGATGCTACTTTTATGTCCCATTTCTCTTTCCTTTCCTTACAAACCTGCCAGTTCTGAATTGACAGCAAATTTCACATTGCCGTTTCTCCCACATCGTGCTGACCTTGTTGTTTCTTATTTGACTAATGATGTGTTACAGTAGGCATTTCACTGGGAGGTTTGCAAGAGCCAATCTCTCTTTTTCTAATGCCACAATTAGATTCAAAAAGAGGGAAGAGCACTGTGATGGGAAAACCTTGCATTCTCAGATGTTCTTTCCATCTGGACATTTTGAGAAAACAAAGGAAGGGCTTGGTGTCATTATGCCTCCCTGTGATGAAGTGGTCAGTGTATCCCTTGTAGAGCTGAGCCTGGATGGGGAAAAACAAGGGAGTTGGGATGATTTATTTTCATCATCTCTGGTGGCAAAACTCTAACAGTTCTGCCTTGGTGGATTTAGGCAAAGAAGGGAGGAGATGGGGAGAGGAAGGAGAGAGAATGTAAGAAGCAAAGGGAATGGCTTTTATTGGCTCATATCTGGGGCAGGAATAGGTTGAGGTTAATATGATGCTATCAATTTTCTATGTCTGCTTTATTCTCCTCTTACCATGGAATTGCTTTCTCCTAATCCTGGCTTGCTCATGACTCCTCATGAGGTAACCTATGAAGCTACCTCACAGCCTTCCTTAATGTATAGTTTCAGTATTCTTCCTTTCCCATTCCCTTTTTCAAATTCCCAAGAAAGAGAATCTGACTGATGTAGCTTGTCTTTTCACCTCTGGCCACTCCAGAGGTCATGGACAGTCTATGGTTTGACGGCTCTTGCCTAGATTTGCACCCCTGGCTGAGGACAGCATGGCCAGGCCACATGGTATAAATATCTCCTCCTGGGGCTACGTGTTCTGCAGAGGCTGTGGGTAGGCACATTCTGGGGAGTGGTGGGTGGCAGCCAATCTTAGCTTGGGTTCTCCTACATAGCAGACACACACGATTCATGCCTGTAATTAATTGTGTACATCAACAGAAGGCAAAAGAGCCCACCAAGTAATCGAGCACATAGCCGTTGTAGGGCAATGGTTATCAATACTTTTGGTTCAAAAGGAAAGGCATCTGTGTTAAAATCCACAGCAGGAAACAACAACTACAAACAAACAAAAATCCTGAAGTGTGATTTAACTCATGGAAACATATAAACAATCATTTATGACCTTAGAAAATAAATACATGATTAAAATTGGAATAACAGAACAAAGAGCTTCCCCTCCTCCCCCTTTTTTTCTGCTTGAGAAAAATCACCCAAGGACTAGAGATTTCAATTTTCTATTGTTTCTCAAATATGAATGCAAATATATATAACCCAGAAGTCAGTTGGAATCTTACCTGTCCCTCCAATTCTATGGTCCATGGAGTGTTACCTACAAGATCTGTGCAACTTCCTAGGGTGGGGATGTAAATGGGATGGGTGTTTGTGGGCTGTTGGCTTTCTCTGCCACTTGGGTTCAGTTACCTTGACTGTGCCTTAGTCCTGTAACACGTGCCCTCTCATGTGAAACTGCCTCTTTGGGGAGGCTTCCCCCTCTTCTACAGCCCTGTTCCTCATCTCTCCCTCCCAGGTTGCTCCAGATGTCCTGAGGGCTTACATTTCTCTTTCTTCTCTTTTGCAGAGCAACTCAATTCTCCCTTCAGCTTTCTTCTTCCTGGTGTGTACTCCTAAGCTCATTTAAAAAAAAAAACAACTAAACAGAATTGAGGGCCTTCCACCTAGTCTCTATGCTTATAAAGAGGCAGTTGGGGTTATAACTAGCAAACAGATAACAAATAAGGTAGTTAGTTCCTTATGAAACCCCACCAAAGTGTGAGATTGGAACTATCATCCCCTTTTTGTCAAGGAGAAAATTTGAGTCCTGGGGCTGAGTGGGGAACTTGGGGTCACTATGCAACTAGTGTGGCAGCTCAAACACCAGTGTGAAGTTGTGCCAGGTTCCCGTAGGATGCCATAGGCTTCTCATACCTGCATTTGAACAAGACGTTTTGTCAATCTG